CATACAAACATACATACATACATACATACATGCATGCATACATACATACATACATACAAACAAACATACAAACAAACATACAAACAAACATACATACAAACATACATACAAATGCACGCGTGCACGCGGATACTTGTGATGATCACCTGTATTAGTCTCAGATGCAGTATCACGTGACTCAACAAACACACACATTCATACATACACACACATACATACATGCATACATACGTACATACAAACAAACATACATACATACACACACATAAATACATACGAAACGAAACGAAACGAAATTTTATTTGTTTTTCCAAATTAAAATTTTTCAAAGAAAGCAGGATGACTATAATAGATACATACATATATATAGATACATAAATAGATACATACATACATACATACATACATACATACATACATACATACATACATACATACATACATACATACATACATACATACATACATACATACATACATACATGCATGCATACATACATAAATACATACAAACAAACATACTCACATATAGACATATAACACCATTCACGCATAAAGCCATATTGACAGGGAAATTGAATTATTTTCATTATAATATAATATGTGCGATGAAAATGATAATGATAGAGATGACAATAGTTATAATGTTGATGACGTTTTGCTGTTGATGTTATTATTGATGTTGTTGTTGTTGTTGTTGTTGTTGTTGATTTTGTTGTTGTTGTTGATTTTGTTGTTGTTGTTGATTTTGTTGTTGTTGTTGATTTTGTTGTTGTTTTTGCGGCTGTGTAGTTGCTGTTGCTGTTGTTGTTGTTGTTGACGACGATGATGATGAATTGTACTTCACACAAATCGATTTCTAGTTCAAATGGCTTGTTTTGAAGTAACGACATTATTATTATTAAAGTAATTATTATTATTATTGTTGTTATCGTTGTTGTTATTATTATTATAGTTATTATTATTAGTAGTAGTAGCATTAGCAGTAGTAGTAATAGTAGTATTATTGTTTTTACCAAGACCATATTTTGATGTTATTTAGACTGTAAGGTTGAAATTTTAAATACTAGTTATACAACTGCTGCTACTACTTGTGTTACAATTGAAAATTTAACCCGTCGTGTTGCTACTACAAATAAATAATTTAATACATTATTCTAGCTTTGTCATCGTCGTCATCATCATCATTACCATCGATGCATTGATTGACCCTGTGGCAAAATTTAGATTTTAATTGACCGCTCGATGCTGCTTGTGAGGTGATATTTTGAGAGTGAAAGAGAGAGAGAGAGAGAGAGAGAGAGAGAGATATGGAGAAAGAGAGAAATAAAGAGAGAAAGAGATGGAAAAGAAAAATATTTAGAAAAGATACAGAGAATAAGAAAGAGAAATAGAGAGAGTTATATATGAAAATATTTTTTCGAATCT